GTGATGAGAACAGTCAGTACAGAGAGGCGGACTGCTGGGTGATGAGAACAGTCAGTAGAGGGAGGCGGACTGGTGGGTGATGAGAACAGTCAGTACAGAGAAGTGGACTGCTGGGTGATGAGAACAGTCAGTACAGAGAGGCAGACTGGTGGGTGATGAGAACAGTCAGTACAGAGAGGCGGAATGCTGCGTGATGAGAACAGTCAGTAGAGGGAGGCGGACTGCTGGGTGATGAGAACAGTCAGTACAGGGAGGTGGACTGCTGGGTGATGAGAACAGTCAGTAGAGGGAGGCGGACTGGTGGGTGATGAGAACAGTCAGTAGAGGGAGGCGGACTGCTGGGTGGTGAGAACAGTCAGTACAGGGGAGGCTGATTCTGAGCAGTGATGATAGTCAATATAGGGAAGAGGCATGGCTGGGTTCTGAGGACGGTTTGTGTGTGGGGAGAGTGTGTTCCTAGGCAATAAGGACAGTTAGTGTGCAAGGAGGGTGCAAAGCTGGGAAATGAGTACACAGCTCACACAGCTCTTCTCCCCTGACTCCAGGGCCTGCTGGAGAGGTGGGTCCACAGGGACCCCCAGGTGCCAGGGGCCCCCCAGGACTAAAGGGGGATAGAGGTGTTCCTGGGGACAGAGGCGCCAAGGGAGACAGTGGTCTTCCAGGTAAGGTAACCACCCATGGCTCTGGCAGCCCCCAAGGGCACAGGTGGGAAGTCACAGCCCTCCCTGGCTCAGGAGCCCCTCCTGCTGGTTGGCTGTCCCATGGATTACCGGGTGTGGATGGAGTGCAGCAAAGGCTGTCAGGCTGGAAGGCAGGAGAAGGAAGCGCTGGTCTTAGCCCCTAGTACTAGCTGGAAGGCAAACTTGGGCAGTGTCTCCATCTGACCACTAGGAAAACCATAGCCGCCTTTCAAGTTCACAGAACTTCACTGAACATCAAATAACGCAATGAATGAGCGTACTTGGGGAATGTGTATTCCTCCTAAACGAAAGGGAGGGGCAATCATATTTCCTGAATTTGGAGGTGAAATATCATCTTGTTTGGTGTCAATAAGGGGAGGGACCTACTCAGGGACACCCCACCAGTTACTTCACAGCGGAGCCACAGGAAATCCTAGGGCCAGCAGGGTCTAGCTGTGTCAGGAGATGTGGCCTTCCTAAGGTCAGCCCCAGCTCCTGCCCCCAATATGCGCCCGCATTTGGGCACCTTCTGTAAGGCCCAGGCTCTGGGGCATTCCCAGCTGTCCTGGACAAGTCTTCACTCGGCCCCTCTCTCTGCTACAGATGTGGCTGCTCTGCAGCAGCAAGTGGAGGCCTTACAGGGACAGGTACAGCACCTCCAGGCTGTCTTCTTGCAGCATAAGAAAGGTGAGTTCCTGTACCTGAACCTGGGTCTGGCTTGGCCTTGGTTTGGCCCTGGGCTAAGGCTAGACCTTTGGCTGGGCCTGGGCCTGAGCCTAGAATGGGAGTGGGGCTGGAACCATGTTTAGGGCTGGAGCTGATGCTGGGGCAGGGAGTGGGGCTAAGGCAGGGTAAAGCAGGGCAGCTACATGCTTCAGGAGCTGGAAGGAGGTCCAGGGGACAAGTAAGAGGATGAGAACCAGGCTAACAGTTCACGGAGCTGGCAGAAGCATGGTCCCCCGAGGCTCTCAGACTCCTGAACTACCTCCAGCATAAGCCTACCTGTGCCCCAAGCCAGAATAGTGCCCAGTGCTGTTCAGTTCGACAGACCTTCTCTGCTACTTATGCTGTACTGGTCCCTGTGATAGAACCTGAGCACAAAGACCAGGGGACACCAGCCCAGGACGCCTTTCTTCACTCTGTGGGGCCAGGTCGGGGAGAGTCCAGAGGTATTGCTGCACAGCCCAAGGGAGCCCCGAATCCAGGTCATAGTGTTGGCTCCTAAGTACTCATGCTCGTGGGTAGGAATTTCGAGATTCGGTGTGTCAACCTCCCTCCCTCCATAAACACATTCACACACACACACTGATGCAAACACAAGTGTGTACTTAAGCACGATCACTGCACACACAGATACACATGTGAGCACACACACGTATGTGTGCACATGCAGATGTGCACACACATCTGAGTGGACCTCAGCATGCTCGTGCTCCCTCAGATAGACGTGTGGGCACATTCCTTCGTGCACGTGCACACCCACCAGACGCCCAGATCACAGACCCAGGCGTAGTACACACACCTGTGCTCTGACCTTGTCCAGGGCTGCTCCAGGTGCCGTTCTGAACCTGTGGAGGATCTGCCCCCTGAACCCTTGTTGAAGCCACTCAGAGGAGAAGGGCAGTGGGCCAGGGTGCAGCCTGGACTCTGGCCAGCCCTGTGAGGTCAGGGTGGCCTTTGCAGAGGGTTTCCATTCAGGGGCCCAGAAGCCACAGGGCTAGAAGCAGAGATAAAAAGAGCATTGGACATGTTACACAGGTTGCTGTGCAGAAAACCTCTGCTTCAGAGGTGAGGAATGGGAAACTCTGAAACGGGAAGTGATTTTCCCTGGCCCACCTGGATGGCCTTGCCTTCTGACTCCCGGCCAGGGATCTCTTCAGCACTGCCCCATCCCTCCCTTGATGCACAAACACACACACCTCTCAGAAGCCCTCGTCCCCTCACCTACCACTTCTGGGTGATGTTGACTGGATGGAGCATCACCCACATGCAGACCTAAGGTTAGCACATCACAGCATTCAGAGGTCCAACCCTACCCTCTCCTCTCCCTCCACCACATCCCAGGGCACAGAGGCTCTCTGACCTGCGGGGGTGAGAGAGGGCTGGCTGCATAGCTTTTCTGTATGCTCAGAGACTGCCCTGTGCTGCCTACTGTCATTTCTTTGGGCAAAGTTTTCCCAGTTCTACATAGTAATTGAAATACTAATTCTGGCTCAACGCAGGGTGAGCTAGAGATAGTATATCTGAACTTTGGAGTTAGAACAACCTAACTCCACGTTTGACAGCTGTGTGATGTTAGGCCTCTCATTTAACCTCTCTGAGTTCCAGTGTTCTCCTCTGGAAATGGGGGACCACAGTACCACCTCTCAGGGCTGCTGTGAGGATGCAGGCTGTGTCATAGCACAGGGTTGCTCTGGAACCATGTGTCTCACCTTGGAGTCTTAGAGCCCCTGCATGCTGGTCAGGGGCTGCCATAGCCCCAACCTGCTCCCCTCTCCTCTTAGTGGAGCTCTTCCCCAATGGCCGGGGTGTCGGCAAGAAGATCTTCAAGACAGGCGGCTTTGAGAAGTCCTTCCAGGATGTGCAGCAGGTGTGCACACAGGCTGGCGGGCAGGTGGCCTCCCCACGCTCTGTGGCCGAGAATGCCGCCGTGCAGCAGCTGGTCATGGCCCACAACAAGGCGGCCTTCCTGGGCGTGACTGACACTAAGACAGAAGGCAGGTTCACCTACCCTACAGGGGAGCCCTTGGCCTACTCCAACTGGGCCCCAGGGGAGCCCAACAACAACGGCGAAGCAGAGAACTGCGTGGAGATCTTGACCAACGGCAAGTGGAACGACAAGTCGTGTGGACAGCAGCGCCTGGTGGTCTGCGAGTTCTGAGCTGCCTGGTGGTGGGTAGTGCCTGGCCGGCCCCAGAGCCTGGCCAGAGAGTTAGGGCCCAGATCTGTGTGCTGCCTACATCCCAATAAAAAAGTGACTGCCTCTACGAGCCAGGGCTTTCCCACAGAGCCACGCAGTGACCCCAGAGGGCAGGGCTACTGCGGGATGCCTCTGTCAGATTAAAGAGATTGGCTTCACCCACTGGGTGACACAAACTGGTAAGTACTCAGCTACTAGCCAAAAGCCAAAAAGTTGGTGGTTCAAACCCACCTGGAGGCACCTCAGAAGAAAGTCCTGGTGATCTGCTCCCTAAAGGTCACAGCTATGGAGCAGTTCTACTCTGCAACACATAGGGTCGCTATGAGTCACAAGTGATTCTGCAGCAACTGGTTTCGTTTTCTGGTTTCACACACTGAACACGTGCCGGGGAGGGAGGGTGCAGCCTGCTTTCCCAGCTGCAAGGGACCTGTCTGTCCCCAAATCCAGTGAGTCTTCCTCAGCCCTCACCCCCCCGAACTATCAGCTGCATTTGACCTGACTGACCACTTCCTCCCCGCTCAAGACCAGCTCTTGGCTTCCAGCACTCCACTCCTGCCTGCTTTTCCTCTTCTCTTGCTGGCTGCTCCTTATCAGTCTTCTTCCTGGTTCCTCTTCCTCTCCTTGAGCTTACTTAGTAGTGGGGTGCCAGAGGCACGAGTCTTGGCTCCCTGCTCTCCTTACACTCTCTCCCAGGGTGATCTCATCAGTTTCTACTGGTGGGTGGCTTCCCAAGTCTATCTGCCAGGACCCTTCCCTGAGTCAAGCCTCTTCCAGTCAGTGCAGGCGGGAGCCCCAGTGCTGTGGGCCGCTGTGGCTGTCTGCCTTCAAGTCTGGGCCGGGGGCTGCGCAGCATCACTGGCTAACTTGGTGAGGATCAGAATGGGGGTGGTGGTCTGCCCTGCACTCAGGGGACCCCCTCCTCCTCCTGGCACTGATCAGGTTCTCTCTCCATCCACATTAATATGATTGTTTCTTGGCTCATGGAAGGGAGTTCCAGCTGCACAATCAAATCTCATGACCTTTGGAGTAGATGGTGTCCAGCTAGTGCTCAAATTCACCCCAATCCTCCTCTTGCCTGGAGATTCCAGGAACGTTCCTTCCCTACTCTGCCTCTGAGATAACCTGATCTGCCTCCTCATGCTACAGATATGAAAACCAATGTGCTTAGACAGGGTCACAAGGAGTGTCAGTGGTAGAGCTGGGTCATGAACAAGGTCAATGTGACCCCAAAGCCTATGCTTTTGGTCTATAAATACAGAAGTCAAAGATCCCTGTATATTTAGTTGATTTCGTCGACACACTGTTGCAAAAATGATTTACCAAAGTGGAATCACCCCTGCGTTTGCCTGGATGAACCAGCGGCCGAGAGGAAGGAGCAATAAATCCCCTGCCCTCAAGCAGGAAAACAACAACTGACCCCATCGTTCCTGGGGACCAGGGGGCTGCCCTTTCTGGCCCTTCTTGGATGGAATCCCCAAGCCCCGACCCTGTTCCCAATACTCTGGCAGCCATGCCTCACTCCTAGGACAGCATTTCTAAAACCAAACCACACTTCCCAACAGCATGTGGCCAGGCTCTCTGTTGAGATCTTTCTCCTGTTACTGAAACAACCCCCAGTTCCTGGCAGCCTCTGACATAAGGCCAGTTATACAATGATGAGCAAACAGCTGTCGGTACAGAGGCTCCTGAGGCACACTCCTCAGGGGTCTTAGGAAGGCCTTACAGCAAGTCAGACACGGGGTAAGAAAGGGCAGTGTGGGAGCTGGTGTTGGCCATTCTTGCCTTTAGTGAGCACTGCTCTGCAGGACTTGAGAGAACCTAATAAGGGGACATCGCTGAGCTTCATCAGTAAGCTGAGTGAAGAAAACTTCTGGGACTTCTGTAAGAATCCTGTTGCTTCCATCAGCGGGGATTTCAGAAGCCCAAAAACAAGAAACAAGGGCAGTGTTTGTGGCCCATGGAACAATAATGTCATCTCCTCTTGAGACCTGCAGGAGATCCCACCACCCCTCTATGCACCCCAGGGCAGAGTCTCCACAGTTTCCTTAGTTACAGGCCCTGACCTGAACCCCTCTGTACTTTAGAGAGAATGCGGGGTCACCACCAAAGAAGGAAACACTTAGCAGCAGTCTCCAAAAGAATCTGATTTAGAGAAAAGTCTAGATTCTCTCCCCACTGACTCTGAGAAAAAAGGTGCCCAGGGCCTGGTTCTGACTTGCTTGAGAGAGCTACCCTGAAAGTCCACAGAGGGACCCAGTGAGAAACCTCCACAGGGCCCAGGTGAGAGCAGCAGTGAAGTTATGCCCCAGAGTGGGTTCTGACATTGCCCTGAACCTAGATCTGAGAGTGCAGACAGGGATGACGGTGGGGGTGACAAAGGGAGTCCTGCGCTAAGGAGCTCAGAGTCTAGGTGTGGAAAGGAGACAGAGGCACAGGCAGGGAGCAGGGAATTCTAGCAGCACTGAGGGCTTGCTGGACAGTGATGACTGCCGGAGCCCAGCATGTCGGGAGGCCTGTGGTCATTCTGTGGGACCATGCATCTGGGTCTGACGAAGTGGCATTTAGGGAAAGGCATTCCAAGTGGGTGTAGCAACCAGGGCAAATGTGCCAAGGAGGCAAGCAGGAGCACCCAAAGTTTCAGGCAAGGGACTCACGGGACCCCAACGCTCACCTGGCCCACTGTCATCTTTCTGGCTTTGCGGGCCAGCCAGCAGAAGGCAGCACCAAGCCATAGCCCCTGTATCACCAGGCCACTGCTGCCTGGTGAGGGAACCCCACACCATCCACGGGGACTCCCAGACAGGAGGTCGTGCCATGCCCAGGGATTCTGACTTTTTGACCTTACTCCAAAGTGAGTTTGCTGCTTCCTATCCCATCCCTTCCAGATCCAGCTTGAGGCTGAGCCAAGCTCCAGAGAAGGGAGTTGCATGACTCGTTTGTGGGGAGGACTCAGATTCATTCATTCATTCATTTGCTTATTCATTCATTACTGAGTGTCTATGTGGTGCCCAGCCCTTTGTTAGGCACTGGAACTGCGGAGGTGAATGATGTAGTCTTGCGATGATCACAACAACAGCAATAGCGGTGTGTGGATGTCTTTTACCAAAGGCAGCACTGCCCTCAGTGCCTTCCATGTATCAGTGCACTTCTTCCTCACAACAGCCCCGTGAGGTGTGCTCTAAGATGACCCCCATTTTACCAAAAAGGGGACTAAAGCACAAAGAGGGCAAGCATCTTGTCCAGGGTCACAAAGCTGCAAAGTGGTGGATCCAGGATTTGAACCCAGGCTGTCTGACTCCAGAGCCTCACTTTTAATGATTTTGCTGTACTGACGTGGCTTAAACAAGTAAATAAGAAAATGGTCAAGATGATTTCAGATGACAATAATTGCTAAGAAGAAAATAAACTGGGATGATGCTATGGTGACTGAGTGTGATGGCTAATTTTTTGTGTCAACTTGGGTAGGATATTTAATCAAACACTAGTCTAAATGTTGCTTTGAAGGAGTTTTGTAGATGTGGATAACATCTACAATCAGTTGAATTTAAGTAAAAGAGATTACCCTTGATAATATGGGGTGGAGGGTCACCCAATCAGTTGAAGGTCTTTCCCAGGGAAGAAGAAAGTCTGCTTCAAGACTGTAACATAGAAATCCTACTGAGTTTCCAGCCTACAGCCTGTCCTACGGATTTCAGACTCAAGACTGCAACAACAGCTCCTGCCCGAGTTTCCAGTCTATTGGCTATACTATGGATTTTGGATTTGCCAGCCCCCACAATTGCAGGAGTCAATTCTTTAAAGTCAATAGATTCCATTTCTCTGAAGAACCCTGACTGATATCCTGGAGCTGGGGCATCTTAGACTCAGTGGTCAGGGAAGGACTTTGGGGTGGGAGTGGGAGGTGATGGTGACATATGATCTAAGACTGGCAGGGGGCGAGGATCATGTTAGCATCCAGATGTCACAGCATAAAATTTAGGACCACTTATGGCACCTCTGACCCTCTTGTCCATGACCAAGTACCTACAGACCTCACCCAAAGCCTCTGGAGCTCCAGCCTGGGAAACCACCAGAACCAATGCTCCTCAGTGAGGCATGTGCCAAGAGAGACCTGGACAAGGGCTAGGGGAGGAGAGGCTGAGTCGCCTGAGTCCCCCCCCGCCCCCAGGATGCTGAGAATGTAACTCATTGGATCTTTTTGTCTCAATACAGACACTCAATGCACACTCAGACATGCACAAAACCGCCCACATACAAACACTCCAAGCCCAAGTACACACAATTCCCCACTCAGGGTCTCACCTGCCCACCACCTTACATGTTCTGATACTCTCCAGAGCTACTCCAACTGCGACTCGCTCCCCACTGCCTGAGACAGCAGTAAGACCCTGGACACGCATAGGAAAGGATTTAGATCAGTGGTTGGTTTTCAATAGTGTGGGTCAGTTGAGGGGATTACTTGGGGTCTGGCATTACAGAGTTAAACAAGGCCCCCTTCACCTCACATGTGGCCTATAAGGCATGGAGAAGCCCTAGCTTCCTGGGTCCAGGGCTCCCTGTTATGGTGAGAACCTGGCAGAACGTGGCTATGGTCAACGTGCTCCTCCGACAGTGGTTTCAAACCCGCCAATCACCCAATACCTGAGGAGCTTGCTGAGAAAACAGATGTCTGGAATTTTGATTCAGTGGGGCCAAGATCCTGGGATTTTGCCAAGCATTGCAGGCAATGCTGCCGGTCACATGGTGCTGGGATGACCACTCTGCACAACCACGTGAGGGGTGGGTGTACTCTGACTTATGTGGTGAGCCTAGACTGAGGCTTTGCTTAGCTAACAAATGGACGTTTTCACCCTGCTTCTTGTGAGCATGGCACCTGCATTTACCTGGACAAAACCCTGGTTCACAGTTGGAGACGCCATTCCTCCTCACACAGGCAGTCATCACAACCCTCTTCTGCCAAG